AATAACAACGATAACAGTAATAATGGCGATAATAATAATGACGCTAATAATAGTGATAATAATAATAAAATGATAATAATAGTAAGTTTCATTTTTCTTCTAGTATCTTGATACTAAAATTTGTTTCGGCTGTGATTTTCAGGACTGTCCAGTGGGCCGATTATTGAGCGCGCCCTTGTGATCGATCCATCCACCATTCTGACAGCATTCCTTGCCACTGCGGTGATTTTTGGTTGTTTCACGTTGGCGGCACTTCATGCACACTCCACGAAATTTCTCCATCTTGGAGGTTCGAGCTTTATCAAGCTTTTTTCATTTTCAGCGCTTTTCATGTGATGTTTTTAAAAGAAAGCCCAAAAAATACACCCAAAAAATGCATTGAGTCGCTGAACTTTGTTAGGAAATTCCAAAGGGATATTGGTGTTGCATTATGACCCCCTCCTAGGTGTGTCGTGCATTGGCGCGAAAGCGGCCTATATAAGGCCGCCGTATCTGTATTGGAGGTAGTATTTTATCTAGCTTAGTGTGGCGACCAGTGTCAATCCCGTCTAGTATCGTCGATCATTCCCGTGTAGTGTGCCGACCAGGACAACTTGCGAAGGACGAGCACCCCGTTGCAACCCCAAGTAATTGCCAAGGAACCGATGACCCGACCGGAAAGGCCGCAGTACCCGGCCAGTCGACTGGAGCGCCCGTACTGGTGAACCCAGCATTGGTACCAAAGTCATATTTTGGGGGGGGGGGGGGAAGGAGGGGAGGGACTTCTAGAGATTAGAAAATTTAGAGAGAGGGGGGAAACTTTTAGGGGTTAGGGAATTTACAAAGATTACAGTTTGTTACGTAAGTGTTGTAGAAATTTTAGAGATATAAGCAGTGAATATCCCTGGCTAGGAGACTGGAAGAGAACGGAGGTCTGAAATCTTCCATGTGTTAAAATATGCAGTTTCTTTAGCATTGTTGGCCCACCAATGTGAAGAGGAACACAATCGAATTTTGACAGTTTATGAAATACTGGAAGTAGTGTCATTTAGATCTCCCAAAATAAGCAAGCTTGTATGTGCAGTGACTTGATATCCTCGCTGTGTTTCATCCCTGAGCTGTAAACAGATATGGCAGAATCGATGCCGCGGAATGTGGTGGGAATCATCAGTACAGTGCCGCCCCATTTTGCCATGTTGAAAGGAATATGTATTTTCTTTGAACATATAATTCTCATTTTTGGTCACCCTATCAATGCAAATGATAATTTACCCAGTTTCTTTGACTAGTGTTGCTTCGCCTGATGGTCAGCCTCCTGGCGATCCTGATATTTGTTTCGCCTCTCAAAAGGGTTACATACAGCTCTTTACATGACTTTTTCACATGCCACTCTGTTTTTGTAAGTATGCGCCATAGCAATCTTGACTTTTTTTATTTTCCTTTCTTCACTACCTCATTGGATTCTGGGCGGCCACCGTCCTATCTCTGGTTATTCCTATTGTGTGTAGGGTTGGTGCGACCCTTGCCGGTCGATACCTTGCGCTGAATGGGCCGTTGTTTCTGGCCCTGGTTACTACCCTCTTCCATTCCCTCACAGCAGGGCCTTTGAGGCCTGTACTGCCTTTTACATTACTCAGCAGGACGGTTTTCCGGACAGAAATATCCGTCAAAGGGACTTTAGTCTTTCTAAGATGCCTTTGGTATGTGTTGAATATCGCCACAATTCGTCTCGAATGTTGTGTTTTTTTGGTGTATGACTCATAAAAATTCAAATTCCACCCAATTTTATCGAGTTTGTAACTCATAAAAAAATTCAAATTTTTCAAGTTTTAACTCATAAAATTTCAAATTTTTATAACTCGCGAAAATTCAAGAATTCAAATTGTGACTCATAAAAATTCAAATTTTAACGAATTTTTGTCGAATTTTAACAAATTTAGGAATAATCAGTGCTGGCTTCCTATTCATTCTGGTCACGGCGATTTTCTCCAGTTCCCCGTTCATGCACACCACCTGTCTGTGGATGGCATTTGCGATCAATTGCGCTCTGGTTCTGTACGATACACAACTGATCTGTGAGAAACGCCGCCGTGGTGATACTGATTACATTTGGCATACCATTGAACTGTTCATCGATTTCATCAATCTGTTCCGCTACGTTTTGGTCATTCTCAGTGACAAAAAGGTTTGGGAAAATTTCGTTTTTTTGAACTTAAAATTAAGTATTCCATAAAATCGCTTGTGACTGTTATTAGATACGTTTTTCTTACGCGTAGGAGTATAAGAGTACCCAAAATATGAGGAATATTTACCCAAGCGATCCTCATTAAAGATTGAAAAGAAAATATCAGGAGAAGAAGGAAACTATTTTGGGTAAAAATTTCGGGTAAAAATACCTCCTGTTCATTTTTTGGGTAAAAATACCTCAGGTTTTGGGGTGTAATTCCAAGTTTAATTCTCAAACTGAACAGATTTGAGAGGATTATTGGTTGATGAGCGAAGGATACCACCGAAAGGTATCGAAAAGAGTTTGATATAACATTTCTTACCAATTGCAAATATTTTAATACTCCCCTTCCCCCTTTTTTTTTCGTCTCGTTCGCCTTCTCTTCTTTTTTCATCCTCATTTTCTACCTTACCTTTAAGTCGTTTTTTTCTTCGAAATAACGGGGAGGGGAAATAGTGCGATAAGTATTAAGCTCACTAACGTTCTGACCACCAAGTGAGGTAGCATTGGTTATTTGCAGTCGTGATGGCCACTTCCTCCTCGGGACAAGAAATTCAAGTAAGTTAGAATTGACTTTCGGTTCTTTTGAGTGGTAATCCTTCAGAATTCTCGACTTGAGCCAACTAGCACTTGGGAAGGAAGGGATGAGGAGTAAGGGGAGTACTTGCGGCAAATTAGTGGGAAGTCTCCATTCAGAGCTGTTGAAAAATACGGTAAGAGTACTCTGTTTTTCACGATTTACAGCTTATATCTAACAAAAATGGGTTGTTTCGGGCTAGGACCATCAAACTGGAGAGTTTTTCCTCGTTTTTTCAGGTGGGGTCATCAAAATTGAGAGTCTTAAATCAAAATTGAGAGTTTTTCTACGCCCGTGAGTTTTTCCTGGTTGTTTCGTGCGAGGACCGTCAAATTTAAGAGTTTTTTCCTCTTTCAGGAGGATTTTCCTTGTTGTTTCGGGCGGGGACCATCAAAATTAAGAGTTTTTCCCTTCGTCTATGGGGGTTTTCCTCATTGTTTCGGGCGGGGACCATCAAAATTGGGAGTTTTTCCTGGTTGTTTCATGCGAAGATCATCAAATTTGGGAGTTTTTCCCCGTCCGTGAGAGTTTTTCCCCGTTGTTTCGGGCGGGGACCGTCAAAATTGAGAGTTTTTGCCATCGTCCATGGGTTTTTTCTGGTTTTTTCAAGCGGGGACCACCAGAATTGAGAGTTTTCCCTTGTTCACTAGGCTTTTAGTACATTGTCCACTTTTAACATGCCCGGTAGAGATTATCGAAAAGTATGATAAAAGTGCGAAATAGTTTCATAGTATTACATGGGTACTTTTAATAGCAACTTTCTTCCCACCACAGATATGCTTCTGGTAGCTTTTTTTCGCATTTTGCTGGAATCTGAATTCATCCTGTTCACATAATTCCCATTTTATAGGCATGGAAATATGGACCCTTCCGCCTTATGGATAACTTTTTTAATTTTTAGCAGTTAAATTATCAGAATTTACTAATTTTCATGCCTTTTTTTTTAGGAGAAAAGCCGCAAACGCAACGATTGAAGAGAGGGAGAAAGAAAAAGCACTTCATTTTTTTTGATATATGCCATTTTATTCAAGCTTTTTTTTTCCTGCTTTTGGCTTTTATTATAAAAAAAAGAATTTTTTGGCGAAAATAAATTTTTTTCTTTCCATATTTGATGTCTCTGTTACATGAGAAGCTAAAAAAGAAGCATTTCAATTATTTTTGGTGTTTCGTCAACAGTTCACTGGGACGTCCGAATATATTCCTGGATTAGGCGAAATTTTTTTTAGGATTGCGATTGCAGAGGATTTTTGAAGTATTTAGATGGATAACCAGCAATTTAACCTGGATAAACCTTATCGATCATGTATAGTTGAGCGTCCGTATAGTTGAGCGCTTGTTAAATTTGGTGCAAAAAAGAAACCAGAAAAACATTGGTTTTATATGGATAATGTGGTAACAATAACGAAAATTTTATCTCGAAATGATGACATAATAATAATAAAAATTGGCCAACGCACGGGCTGCCCGTGCGAAGATGCGTTTTTTGCAGAGTTCCC